TGCTAGCTTGAGCAATTTGGAGAGTTTGGAATGTAGAATGGAGGTCCAAGACTTCAACTATCTTGTTAATAAGTCTAAAGATTTTGACAATCTTACGGCTTATGAATTTCGACTGACAAGAGATGAAGGAGAGATCGGACGTGGTGGATTTTTTGATTTCCATCAACGTAAGGTTTCTATTCATGACTGTGAGATTGGAGAAGAATGTATAGTGCTTCCAGATACTCTTGAGGGTTTGTGGATCTGTAACTGTAAAAACATGAAAAACATGAGATGCAGCTTAAACAAAACAGTTTTGTTAGAAAATGCAACCGAGTTGAGAAGATGTTTTATTGAAGATTTTGAAGGGATAGAGTGCATAGTTGAGTTGGACTCATCCTCTTCCTCCTTACTGAATAAGCTCGAAGACTTGAGCCTTCATGACTCGTCTAACTTGAGTGTACTTGTGAGAGTGGAAGGAGTAGTAACACCACCGCAGATCTTTTCCAATCTTAAATATCTTTGGATAAGATTTTGTTCAGCAATGAGGAACTTGGTTCCACTTGAGCTGCTGCAGGCCCTCCAAAACTTACAGTCCATTCAATTCAGGGGATGCGAACAAATGGAGGAGATAATAGCATCATCAGATTCAGATGCATCATCATCGAATAAATTCACTTTCACTTTTCCTAATTTAAGGACATTGATCTTGGTGCAATTAGGCCAATTGAAGAGCATTTGTGGTGACAAAGGTGTTATGGTTTGTGATTCTATTGAAGAAATTCAAATAATTCAATGTCCGAAGTTAAAGAGGTTCCCTTTACAGCTTCCTCTGCTTGACAATGGCGAGCCATCTCCTCCTCGTTTTCTCAAAAAAATAGGGATAGATGAAGAGTCAAAAGAATGGTGGGAATCAGTGGTTGAGTTGAATCATCCTAACGCTAAGAACATACTCCAACCCTTCTTGAAATTTACTCCATTTGATGAATGGAGGTAAGGGGTTGATTGATTTATTCTAATTTGAATTTAATTTGTTTTGTTGCTTTAAATTTTTATCGTCTCATCTGAAAGGGGAGTTGTTGACAAATCTTCAATTTTTCAGTCGTTGGTAAACAAGTCACGTGCGAGTCCATAACACGTGCCAATAAAACCCCTCCTTCCAGTACTCCACAACGAGGACAATGCAAAAAGTGATTCTGACATGGGAAAGCCTATGTATTGTGGAAGAGATGAGATTGGGATTGAGATTGAGATTGAGATTGGGATTGAGATTGAGATTGAGATGCATCCACCCTTCACCCTCCGCACTACTGTGCTATCTCATAAACTCCAACCATGTAAGTATCCATATTTTGACTTGGATCATTATTATTTTCTGGTTTTATACTTTCATTCCATTTATATAGAAATTAGTTTTTGGGTTTGGGTATGTATGGCTCGCTGAAATTGGATTTTGGGTTTGGGTAGTAACAAAATCGTGGGTGATGAGATTGGCTAATGTTTGCGATTGGAACGTTAATGTTTCTTTTTATTTATTTATTTATTTATTTTTTGGTATATTGAGATTTCT